AAAAAAAAAATGTTTTCCTTCCATGTCTGAAAAAGCAGCAACCTGCATTTAGAAAAACAGCCAAAAGTGTTATTCAGATGGGCCAGGAAGTGCTTTCAAGCAATGGAACAAATTAGGCAAACTGTACGTCTGGAGCCACTGTGACACAACACATAATTAAAAAATATATTTATATATAATACATATTTTTATATCTCACATCTTCACACTAGTCTTCATGGCCAAATAGGGGATGGCGCTGAGGCAAGACCCCAACAAACAGGACATCGGGAGGGAGGCACATCTGACCCTCGGTGTCCACAATGTCGTCTGCCTCTTGCTTCCACAGGGGACACTGGCCCTTCCACACAGCATTTGGGAGCCCTCTTTCATGGAGCCTTCCTGTGAGCCCAACGAGGGGTCTAGGAGACCCAACTCTCAGACCGCTGTTTTCTGGGGACCCTGCTTTGTTCTCTGCTGATGCACACACATGCTTGTGTATGTACACACACACACACACACACACACACACACACACACACACACACACCTGAGGGAAGAGGGGCCCTTCTAAGCATAGGTGTGGCCCTCTGAGGCTGCAGGGAGCAGCTGTTTGGCCAGGGATGTCTGGCTCCTTGAGAGCAAGATTTCCCCAGTGCCCTCTCTGAGCATCCTGACATCAGCCCAACTCTTCCTTCAAGGCCTCCTGCGTGGTTTCTGGTGTCCCTGGGCTCCAGGATGGGCCTAAGGGCTGGTGCAGGAGAGCAGCTAAAGAGCAGCTTGAGAAAGCCTGGGAAGGAGGAGCAGGAGAGGAAGAAGGCAGGGGCCAAGGGCCAGCATGAGTCTCTTGGCAGAGGCCATTGACCATTTAAAGGGAAACTATGCTCCCCACACCTTGTCCCAAGGAGGCTTTTTGTGGGGGACTGGCAAGGCTCCCATCGCAGGACTAGAAGGCCAGTTTCAGTGAGGGAAAGATAGTCTTGAGTGGGAAACTTCTTTCTAGACTCAGAAACAATCAGCAGAAACCTCCCCACCCTTTACCTCCCAGCTAGTCTGATTTGGATCAGGAGGCCATAAGAGGTTTCAAGTGCGACCCAGGGTATGACCAACTTCAAGAAAGGAGCAAATCAAGAAGCTGCTGGGTTCTGATGACATTTTATAGGGGCTTATCAAAGCATGGGTTCCACACTCCAGACATAGGCTGTGTGGACACTGGTCATGATCCTGATGCCAGCATCCCAGAGCTTGACCTCACCTTCTTCTATAGCCATCACAGAAGAGGCTGCTCCTCAGGACAGGGCCCTCCAAGATATCCCAGCCTTGTTTCCAGCCTGGAAAGCTGCATCAGGGTGCCCCCCTGACTGTTCTTCCTATGACTCAACGATTTCTCCTTCTCCCAACAGCTGGAAGGACCAGGCTTCAGGATCCTGTGTAGGATAAGGCTTGGGCAATGACACAGCCCATGATTTAGACAAATTCTGGGGAGCCAGGCAGCTCCCACCCCATCCTTCTCCCCACTAAGAGCTTGAGAAGACTTTCACTTTAGTTTTAGTTTGCCAAACTTGTTCCGGGGCCTGTTTGCTGCAAGACCCCCATGGCCAGGACCAGGGCTAACACTGTCCAGCAGCCCCAGTACCAGATCCTTTGAGAGACAGAAACTGGAGGGCAGAGTTGCTGCAGGCCAGGAGGGGAGGACACAGGATTCCAGCAGGGGACCCCCGCCGGGGCAGAAGTTTCCAATTACTCTAATTGGCTACTGGCAAGCTGTGTATGGCTAGAATCTTTCCAGAGGGGGCAGGGTTTGATCTCCCATTAATCAGGGGGTTCTTGCACGGCTGACTGTGTGATCACATCGAGGGTATTTTCATTGAGAGAAGAGACTTCAAAGCGACCGACTTTTGAAAAATAAAACACAACAAAAGGAAAGGGTGCAAACTGAGTTGCAAGCTCCAGCTCCCCTCCCCGCTGCCAGCCTCCTAGGGCTGGGTAGAGGCAAGGCTGGAGGAGCTGAGGTTGGGAGGGTGGGGTGTGAAGAGCAGAGCAAAAGCGCCTCTCCCTAGCTCCGCTGTGGCTGACAAAGGCCGTCAATTACTGGCGGCTGGTGGGGACCGTGCCTGCCTTTGTCCTCCCGGACATCTGCTACATGTCGCCTGCTGCCAGTTGGCGACTGCGGCTGACAGCACGAAGGGAACAATGGGAGCCCGTCTCGACCTACTTTTCCAGCCTCTGAGGTCTTTTCTGACCCAAGCGGTGCCCTGGTGTGGGAGGCTAGTGTTCAGGGCTGCAGGGGGGCAGGGGCCTCTGAGGAGCTGCAGAGATGAGATCTCTGCTTGAGGCTTGAGGTGGATGGGTTGGATGGCTGGGGGTGGAGAGGGTGGGAGTGAGGGAGGTCTAGGGCCAGGGCCACCACCGAAGAGAAACATGCTTCCCTTGTTGGTAGGAGCTGCTGCATGCTCAGGCTCAGGTGGGGGTGTTTATGCACGGGGAGGCTCTTCTCAGAGATTTGACCCCTTTCCCGGTTGGCTCCAGACTGGCCACTGACTCTGCTTGCCTTCCTCCCCATTTCTTTCTCCCACCAGGGCCACCCCTGTCCTCCCGCCTGTCCATCTGGCTCTGTGCACCAGGGCCCCAGCTGCCCACGGGCCACCCTCCAGGCCCCCTGGCTGTCAGGCTGTCAGTTTCTGGATGGTTCTGTTGTAGTACTGCGTGATAGGGGGTGTCAGAGGGTTCCAGCTGTTGGCGTGGAGCTCGATGACCTCCAGGAGCAGAGACCGGGTCAGCATGGACTCCGAGGGGCACAGCATCTTATCTCGAGCACTGGCTAGAAGCTCCGTCATCATCTCGGGAAGCTGTTCTTCCAGCAGTCGCCCTGTGCTCTGTAGCTGCAGGCGGAGAAGTGGGGGCTAATTAGGGCAGAACTTGGGTACCACAACGCTATCTTCATTAGGTGGGCTGGGGATAGGGACAAGAAGAGCTGGCTTGTGCTAGCGATGTGCAGGCTCAGGTGGGAACAGTCACGTTGCAGTCCCACACTGAATACACATCTACCGGCAGGAATGAAAGAAGTCAGAATACTGCCTGATGCCTAGGTCCCAAAGAGCCCTCAAGAGGAACATACCCTTTGTCCCTTCCACCCAAGCACCTCCCCTCCTAAAGGGAGCCTTCCCTGACTACACTCACATACTCAAGGTGACCTGTTCCCTTGGGTGATCAGGTGGCTTTTCCTCTTGCTGGGGGTTTCTCTTGCTGGAAATGAGTTTAGTCATTATTACCTGTATGGGCTAGAACCTGAGAGCAGGATGAGGTCTATTTCTCTCTCCCTTTCTCTCCAGACCCCAAACCAACCTCCACCTATGTTTATGATGAAAGGAGGAGAGAAATATAAACTGGGTCAAAAGGCCAGCTGGAGGGCCGTGGTGGGGGTGGTTTAGCTCAGTGGTGCCGCTGCCTGCCTTGCAAGTGCAATGTCCTGAGTTTAATCCCACACACACACACACACACGCGCGCACACACACACACACACACACACACACACACACACACACAAACACACACACACAAACCCAAAAAACAAAATACAACAACAACCCAGTAAATAAAAAAGGCCAATTGGATAATTTTTTTTGGGGGGGTACAGGGGATTGAACTCAGTACCTGTGCTTGTAAGGCAGGCGGCAGAACCACTGAGCTAAATCCCTGTTCCTGGATGATCTTGAGAGATCTCATAATCTTGAAAAACCCCTTGGAGGAAGAAGCTATAATTTTTCTGGACCAGTGAGCCACTGGCCAGCAGCTGCTTGGTCCCTATTTTCCCACCTCCAGCTATGTCCACCTGACTTCAAGTCTGCCTTTTTCATAAAGCCTTCCTGACCTGACTTCACAAGGATGTGTGCTCTGTATTGACACTCACTCCACATAGCCCTCCAACCAGTGTGTGTGTGAGATCTGCCCCTAGCCAGCCTTGCAGCTGTCTGAGGGTGCAACCATGCCTCCTTCGCCTCCAGCTCTCAACTCCTCGAGCACCACGTTGCACCGCTGGAAATAAGTGTCCATCTCCCAGACCCAAGGCTGCTGGCCAGCTCCTGGCACTTCTATTGTTTGAGCTCTTCCTTCGCAGCCTGGTAGAGCCACCTATATGGCACGCTCATTAGTGTTGCTAGGCTAAGGCCCCATGCTGGATGCCCCCTCCTCCACGTGCTCCTCTCTGAGTACTCTGAGCTGTTTGCAAAGGGCAAAGATCTGCTCCAGGGACCAGCCAGAGCCAGGCTCTAAAGGAAGATCTCGGAGGAGGAATGAATGTCAGTGAGCAGTGGCTGCACCCTGAGAATGGAGGTAGCCCATTCTCAGCTGGCGCTCATCATCAGCACTTACCTGGTTTAGGGTGGGCAGCTCTGGGTGCAGCAATCCATGCCCACTCAAGAAGCCACCTCTCATCAGCTCACTCAACAAACATTTCCCCTGGGACTGTGGATGCTCCAATGACTCCAGTCCCCTCCAACTGTGAGGTGCGAGGGATGCACGGGTCTGAGGTTTGGACACCCGAGCCCCACTGCTTACCTCCATAGAGCAGCAAAGGACAGCGTCTTCCTTCACATCCTGAGACTGCAGGAGCTGTAAAGAGAAGGACAGAGAGGAAATCAATTAGGTTGGTTGGGCTGTCTTTCCCTGCTCCGGTCACTCCAGACCCAGTCCTGAAGTTTGTCCTGTGACAACAGGCTGAGGGATAGGCTGGAGCGAGAGCCCATGAAGGTCAGAAGGTGGAATATGGAAAGTGCACTCAGAAGCGGTGACTTTTCTGCTGGCTTTGGGCAGCTGGAGGACACTGCATACAGTATTGAGTCCATACAGTGACCATACAGTATTGAGTCCCGGCTGGGTCAGGACAGCGTGAGTACAGGCCCTCACAGAGAAGGGCTGTGGGGAGTCTGAAGGTGGTGGCAAGTGTGCTGAATGCAATGGGTTTAAGGATGTCCACTTGGTGACCCTGTGTGTGAAGAAGTTTAGCCACTGGGCCAGCAGCCTTGGGCTCGGCCTGGGAGGATGTCCAGTAAAAGCAAGCATTCTTTTCCCATGGCCCAATGCTGCAATCTTTCAAAACCAAGGCAGCGTTGATTTGCCCTGAGTCCTTCCTAACCAGGGCCATGGCCAGGCTGCTCAGTGCTTGGCTTAGCCACACTGCCAATCAGCATTCCCTCTACCTGCCTGGCACATTCTATTTCTTTCTAAGTTGAGATATAATTCATAAAACTGAGGTAACATAAAATTCACCATTTTAAAGTGTATAATCCAGTGGGTTTTAGGATATTCAGAGTTAGGCAACCATTACCACCTCTGAATTCCAGGACATTTTCATCACCTCCAGAAGAAACCTGCCAGTAGCTGTTCCCTATTCCTGGTTCACTCCAGCCCCTGGCTATACCCAGTCTCCTTCCTGTCTCTGTGGATTTGCCTATGTTGGACATATTCTGTCAATGGAATCAGACAATATGTGGTCTTCTGTGATTAGCTTTACTCAATGTTTGCAGAGTTCTTCCTCAATGCAGCATGTATCAAATTTCCAACTCAGGGCTTCCGCACTCTTGTCCCCAGGAATTCTCAGCCATTCCATAGCTACAGACCTCACCCTACCCTGTGCAGAGCTCTGGCCAAGGGCACCTCATCAGATGGCCTGCCCCAAGCAGCGTGTGCAGGCCTGATCACACTCGTTCATCCCTGACACACTGTCCACCTGTTTGCCTGTTGTCTGCCTGCCTGCAGAGGAAGGGAAGCTTCATGAGGAGGCCTCTGTCTTGGGGACTGCTATCCTCAGTGCTGGGTATAGCATGTGGTACCTGGAAAGCCCTTGGAGAAATTTGCTAACATATTTGGGAGGCAGAGAGATAACTTGGCCCAGCTGGCAGAGCTGGTAAGTGGGAAAGAAGAGGTCCATGCCAAGAGGCAGTGGGTCTGTGAGGCACTGCAGTGCACACATCCTTGGGAAGATGATAGGGAAGGAAGTGTAGGTGTCCCCACCCCACACCTCTTGACAGAGGAGACATGGAACAAAATTATAATCAATGCTTCTACAAATATATGTGCATGTGGAGATATAAGATGGTAAATTGGTACAACCCAGCTGGGAGTGTTGGCACAGACCTACAATCCCAACACTCTTGGGATGCTGAGGCAGGAGGATTGCAAGTTCAGGCCCAGCTTGTGCACCTTAGCCACTTAGCCAGACTTTGTTTTAAGATTAAAAATACAAAAAAGGGGCTAAGGATATAGCTCAGTGAGAAGACCCTGGATTTAATCCCCAGTACTGGGGTAGGTGGAGGGCAGCTCTACAGATGGCAACTTGGTAGTAATTATCAACACGGCAAGGGTATACACCCTCTGACCCAGCAAGGTTACTTCTAGAAATTATTTTCGCCCATGTACCCACACACACCACACAAGCATTATAGTTAGAACAAAAGATAAAAAGTGCTTTGCACGCCCACCAGACATGTCTGCACAGTGAACTAAGCTGTAGCACGCTCTCCTGTACACGTCTGCCTTTGCAGTTCTCTTGTTTCTAGTTCTAGGACTGCAGATCCTTAAGGAGAGCCAAGTGGGGCTTTCTACCAAGCCAGTGCCTGTGGGACACCTAGGGAAGAGTCTCTCTCACTTGGAGGACTCAGGAGGCCAGAGAGGGGACCAGAAGGCAAGTTGGGGAAATAGTTGGGGAAGTGCTCACCTTGCAGGAGGCTTTTTTATGTCACCTGGGCCAGTTTGCAACCCAGCTCACTCTGATGGGGCAGGTCCCAAGGATTCAAGGGACCTGTGATTGTCTGACACAGGGGTGAAGGGAAAGGCAGACTGGACCCCACTTATTCTACAGGAAAGATGGGTGTGTGTGTGCAAGGACAGCCCTGTACAACCTTCTGGAACTCGCTGTCAGGATGAACTTCTTCAGGTGCTTTTCCTGCTGCTTATCAGGAGAAAACCCTAAAATAAAAGTTCCTAGTGGAAATCATAAGAAAGGGGGAAGGTTTTCATCTGGGGGAGGAATTTCTGAGACAGAGTGGATGATGGGCTTGGAAGAAGAGAAGGTGCGAGCTGGTGGAAGGTGGAGAGGTGGGCTCAGGATGCATCTGGGTCCTGCTTGGCTGGCACATGGTGGCTGCCCAATCCAGGTTTCTCGTGGTGGACTGGATGCTCCTGGGCCCTGTTCTGTCTTTTGACCAGCTTTGTAAGGGGCTGCCAAATTCTGAGGTTTAGGGACAGTCAAGGTAACACAATGGGAAATTCTTCAAAGAGCCAGGATCAGACAAGGAGTCACTGATGTGAAATGCTGCTGTCTGTCTCCGGGGACAGTGGCCCTCAGACCTCGTTGACACTTCAGAGAGAACCTTGCAAAGCCTCCTGGTGCTGTCAACAGAGCGCGATACCTTGAGAGCTAGGGTCCTCTCCTTTTTCTGGCTACCGCCCAAGGCCCGATCTTGCCCTCAGTTCTCCTGTGCCATGGGACCAGAGCTCCTCTGCTGTACTCTTCCTCATTTTCCTCTTGCCTTCCCCCCTTTTTGTGTCTGCACCATGTGCCCTCTGCAGGCCCACATTCTCCATAGCCATGCTCCTGAGGGCCACTGCCTCTGTTTTCTCCTTGGTAGGGACCAGGGTTCCTGACTGCCAAGGTAGGGGGCAGACTGACCAGGACTCTCCAGCAGGGCTGTGGGCGGGTTCTCCCTTCCAACCTTATCTCTTGCTTGGTTGTTTGGGAAAGTCTGTACACAGCCAAAAATCACATTGTGTAGCCAGCCCCCGGCACATGGCTTGCTGGGCTTTCTCAAGGAAACCATGGAGGGCGGAGAGCTTTGCATTTTCCTTTTCTTCACAGTTGCTGGAACACAGAGAGTATGTGAAGGGATTGGTGGCTACAGGCTGTGTCCTGTTCTTCCTGCAAATGCAGACTCGGCCTTTCTATGCCAGCTTTTGTGAGTGACTCTCATGCCCTTGGGGCTGCAGGGACAGGGGAGGGTAGCTCCTTCAGCCTCCACCTCTGACCCCTGAGGGGACTTCACTGGCCTCAGGCCTGCTGTTCTTTGTGTGTAACAGGACAATGTCCACAAGCCCAACACACCTCCACAGGGGCTCCCTCCTGAACCCTGCTCAGTGCCAGGGCTCCTCAGTTCGGCGCTGCTCAGGACTCCCCACTTGACTTGCCCTTTGGGGACATCATCCCAAGTTCAGAACCTTTCCATTCTTCCACCTTGGCCCCCAATTCTCGCTCTGTGCCTCACATCTTCAGGGCTGTTTTCCTATGGGGCAGATAGCTTTTGGGTAAGTGTCCTTGCTGCTATGTTGAAGAGGCCAAGTAGCTCTCTCATTTTTGAATGCCCTATTTGTAATCTTCAGGAGACAACTGCATTGTCTAACTCAAAGATGAATAAAAAGCAGCGGCTTCTTGAATGGACATAAAACTTGCATACTTACGCTCATAGCTGTATGATTGACAATAGCCAAACGGTAGAGTAGCCCAAGTGCCCATCAATGGGTGAATGGATAAACAATTGGTCCATGTGCACAATGGAACGTTATACAGCCTTAAAAAGGAAGGAAGGCATTTCTGACCTAGGATGCCACATGAATGAACCTTCAAGAAGTTAGGCACAGAAAGGCAAATGCTGTATGATTCCATTTACATGAGGAACTTAGAATGCATAGTCACATTCATAGACAGAAGACAGATGGTGGTTGCCAGGGGCAGAAGTGGGGGTGGGGAGTTAGTATTTGGACTGGAGAAGATGAAGACGTTCTGGAGGTGGACGAGGGGATGGCAGCACAACAAGGTGAGCAGATACAGTGTCACAGAAGTGCAGTCTTTCGTTTGTTTTTTGTTTTTTTTGAGACAGGGTCTCACTATGTAGTTGAGACTAACCCGGAACTCATTACGTAGCCCAGGGTGGTCTTGAACTCACAGTGATCCTCCTGCCTCAGCCTCCCGAGTGCTGGGATTACAGGCGTGCGCCGCCACGCCTGGCTCACAGAAGTGTAGTCTTAAAAATTGCTCAAAGGATAAATTTTATGTTCTGTACATCGTCCCATAATTAAAAATAAATGATTTGCTGGGTGTGGTGGTGCACACCTGTAAGGCTGAGGCAGGAGGATCGCTGTGAGTTCAAGACCAGCCTGGGCTACATAGTGAGTTCAGGTCAGTCTCAGCTACATAGTGAGACCCTGTCTCAAAAAACAAACAAAACAAAACAAAACAAAACAAAAAAATGGTTAAAAGACAGTGGCCAGAGCAGGTACGTTTTGGGAGGGCAGGACTGTCCCTCTCCCATGACACTGATGGAGGACTGAGTCTGCCTACTCTGTGGACTGAAGGCCTGGGGTGAGGGGAGAGGCGCCCCCGTAGTCTCTGGCACAGACAGGGATGTGGGCGGGCTGGGGCAGGCATAGCGAGATGTGTTTCTTGGATGAGAATCCAAGGCAATTGTGCGAGCCCACACAGTGTTTGTTCGGAAGCGAATACATTCCTGTCCTATTGTCTCTGCCGGAGACCTGTTGTGGACACACCCATCGTATCCTCCCTGGGGAGAAGCCAAGGTGCCCGGCTGAACAGCAACCAGGGAGAAAGAGCATCCCAGAGT